CTCACCTGGGGACCAGAGCCACGAAATTGGACGATAATGAACCTCTGAAACCCTGAACGCCAAATAAGGTTTTCCTTCTCTGTGTTTTTCTTGCCAGGTATTTTTGTCAAAATGGCCAAAAAGCTGAGTCCCCACAATGATATCCAGTTCATAACTAGGAAAATTGAGACCCTGAGAGGTACTATGACTTCCCCCAGCTTGTGAAGGAAAAGGTCAGAATGCCAAGTTCAGTCACTTGGAAATAACTTCATGGTTTTTCTACATTCATAGAATCGCACATCAAGCTTCTCTGAGCCCATCTACCAAAGACAATCTCCAACCCTGAAGGTTAGAGAGATCTAGGCAGGGGCACACGTACGTTCTGTTTATTAAAGTAAGCCAGGCAATTCAGGAACTGGGAGTGGCAAAAGTCTCTCATTGCTTTAACTAAAATTCATAAAAACTGAAAGGATTCATCTTCATAATGAAGAAATCATTGAGCCCATTTTATTTTAATTTTTTAAATCACTGAGTTGGCATTTGCTGAGCCAGGTTCAATAGCGCTATCAGCACAAACGGGCTGATATGATGTAATTCCCCCACTGTACTAGAGGAAAACAGCAGAGACGTTAAGCCAAGTGCCTGTGTTCAGAGAGAAGTCAGGGCAGTCATTGGCAATTTCCATCTCTAAATTTCTTAACCACCATGTTGTGCTGCCTAAAGATGAGTGGGGGGGGGTAGGTAACAGGATCAAGAAGGAGATTGATATAAAAGTGAATTTTTGTACAGGATGATATATAGAAGGAATTGCACCTTTGACCCAGCGAGAGAATAGAGTATTTCTGATTCCAGGAATTGAGGGATGTCCATTCTAGAGGTCAGCTTCCTTGGTTCAAGGGCACATGAACTTCAAAAACCAAAAGTTTCTCTCTGCCTTTGGAATTTCCAGGTAAAGCTGTCGATCATGTTAAGGTGCAATGCAGGGTGCTCTGCCCCCTGGTTTTGATTACTTCAGAAGGCCACCAACTTTACAGATAGCCCTTAAAATTGATCTATTCACTTTCTCTTGGAGCATAATGGCCAGATAAACAGCCCACTTTTCTCCAGGAGAACTCAGTGGCTGGTCAAAAGGGTCCCTTGGGGCTTGGGATTCATACCAGCCAGAAATAAATAAGGCTGTTCATGGGCTACTTTGAACAGACAATAAAGGAAAATGCCCAGTTTTATTTGTGTATCAATCATTTCATAAACAAGGTGGCCTTATCCCTGTTCACTTGCTTGCTGATTCTTTCTTTAGTGGACACTGGTTTTTTTTCTATACAATTTCTTTCATTACCACGTGGATAAGCATTTTAACTTTTGAGCCCCATACCACCACCAATTTCACGTGTTCAACTTTGAGATCTGACACATGAAATCACAATAGGCAACTTCTGAGTCAGCCCACCTAGATTGCAAGGTTTACACAAAAGGAGAGTTTTCCTGGGATGAATTTGGAACATGTCCCAAGTTCAGCACATATGGAGAAGGACTTACTATGTTTTTTGACTTTATTTTCAAAGTCTTATTTAGAAGATATTTAGTTTTAGAAATGAAGAGTCCTGGAGATCAACTTATCCACGAGCATCAAATATGTCTGTTTCACCTCAAGTGCCCACTCAGTACTTATGTCTTGTCACCTGAAACTTAAGGTTAAGTAGGATTCTGATGCTCAGTCTGGGCTCAGCAACAAAACACAGGACGATAAATTTCTACTATTTCTGCCATGTGTGCTGTGTTTGCCAAACCTGCATTGAGAAAGATTGCAACCAGTCTGGCTCTAGCCTAATCTGTTCACTTATAAATGGCAAGAATAGCTCCCAGAAAGGGGTAATGATGTGGCTCTGTCACTCCAGAACTTAGTAGCAGAATGAGAGAAGCTAAGTACAGACCTGGGCTCCTTACACCAAACATAGAGAGAACTTCATACAGGAGGAAGTCTGAGCGCTTCTGGCTCACCAATACTGGTCTCCTTGTTGCAAATTTCAGCTTGTCCACATTGGACATTTCTTATAACTTTTGTTGCAAGTGTGTCTACTGAGGAGGGGAAACTTGTTTGTCCCTCCTCCAAGGGATGAATGGTTTTTGAGAGTGTGTAGGAGCAAGCACAGGGCCTCAAGTGAGTACATTTCACCTCTGTGATCACCTCTCTGGCCTTACACTGTAAAGATGGGCCCAGTCTGATTTGATCTTGCCTTATTCCTCAGAGATGGAGTGTCTCTGGCACACGGGCAGCATGCACTGAGCATTTGTAGGCTTAACTAATTTGTAGGCTTAACAATATTCACATTTATATCAATTCAGCTTTCAATTCTGGACAAGCCATGGATGGGGGTCATGCCCAGCCCAACACCTGCTCATGTCGATCAAGTTTTTCTGGAGCACCCTCCTTCCCCTTTATTCACAAAGGGTCTTTAGTTGTTCTGTGTTACAGTGGCAGCACTGGGCAGGCCTAAAAGTGTGCACAGCCTGGGAAAACCTCCATATCTCCCACTGGACTCTATAAAAACAGGTATACTAACTGACCTCTGCTCTGGGGATAAAAACTAGTCCATGGTGGCCATTGTTCCCTTTTATAATTGACCAAGATGGTCTGTGCTATGATTTGGAGGTGAGATGTCCCCCAAAAACTCACAAGTGAGACAATGCAAGAAGGTTCAGAGGAGAAATGATTGTGTTGTGAGAGTCTTAACCAATCAATGAATTAATCCCCTAGTAGGATTCACGGTGTGGCCACTGAAGGCTTCTAGGGTGTGGCTGGAGGAGGTGAGCATTGGGGGCATGTTTTGGGGGTATATATTTTGAATCTGTTGAGTGGAGTCTCTATCTGCTTTCCGATCATCATGTGAGCTGCTTCCCTTTGCCACACTCTTCCACCATGATGTTCAGCCTCAACTCAAGCCCCAAGGAATGAAGCAGGATGTCTCTGGAATGAGACCTTCTGAAACTACAAGCCCCCAATGTTCTGGTGGGGTCTTTTAGTCACAGCATTGAAAAAGCTGAGAAATAGTCTAGGAAGAGGAGAATGGCTGGTGGAATAAATTATTCCTCAGACTTAACTCTCCAGACCTTCTTTCTCAGATCATTGGAGGCAAAGTTTACATCCTGCCTTCATCCCACAAACTATTTGGTGTGTACCTGGTATGCGGCAGCTACGCTCAAGGATCTGTGACATATCACTGAACCAGAGTAGATGTCCTTGCCTCTTGAAAACACACAGCTGTGGAGACTGGCAATCACAAATGACATTCCTATGAGGGGGAACCAAATGGCATTTGAGAAGTCACATGCTGTGGAAGGAGGACAGAAGGTGGGACGTCCCACAGGGCGTGCTGGGAGAATGCAAGGGAGCAGGAGGGCTGAGCCTTTCCACAGGATGGCCCACAGGATGCACTGAGAAGAGAACCAAGAGAAAACTGGAAAAGGGTCAGGAGATGGTGTTGGGTCACAGTGAAGGTGAACAGGGAGTCAAGGCAGAAGAGAGTCCTGAGCAGGAGCTGGGGGACACCTTAGAAGGCAGAGGATGTGAACAGGGTGGGTATCCTCATGGAAGGTGCAGAGCTCTGCTTTAATCAGAAGCTCTTGACCAGAGGGACATGTGATAAAGCAGATCATGGAGAAACTCCCTGGAGGCATTTCATTTTGGCAAGTGAGAGATGGCAGAATATTGCTAAATGGATGACGTTTGACTGACCCAAATTAATCTGTTCTTGCATCTCCAAATGCCAGTCCTAGCCCCATTTACAGAAAGTCTCAAAATTGAGGAAAACTGTGGATTTCTCTGCCTGTGACCTTCGAATCTCGGGAGGTTTCTTTCCCCAAATGGAAACTCCAGAGGGATGAGGACAACAGTCTGCTTCTGAGACTTGGTTCTGGTTCCTCCAAATCACCAAACCTTTCTGAGCCCCAGTTTCCTTGTCCATGTGTCTGTGTCTTTAGTTTCCTGAACACTGGATGACGCTGGGTGAGTCAGCCTCAGCACAACGTCTGTAAGCACCTGTTTCCATGTGACCAACTATTTGTTATCAACTGTTCTCTCTGTTCTCTGCTCCAATTCTTCCGGCAATGGGGAATTTATTCTGTCATTGCTTATTGCTCCTTTGGGCAGTCTGGCTGTTAGACTATTAAGCCCATGTCCACCTCCTTCTAATTTGCATTGAGTGGCCCTGTTCCTCTACCTTAAGGTCAAAGAGATGTCATCGTCTCCCACGGAAAGCTGCTCAGTGATTACAGGTAATCACTGCTCTGTCCCAAGCACAACCTTGTGCTCCTCGGCCACATCTCATTTCATTCCATCTCCCGTCCCCTCACCAGGCTGGCTCTCCTGCTGTGACCTCGCTCCAGCTTGGCTTCCAGCCACCCTCATTCACCTTCACACTTCTTCCCAACTTCTCTCTCCTGGCCACTTTCCCACCTAAGTAATTACATTCTATAAGCCCAAGTGTAGAACGTGTGCATTGTACCCTGCCACCCTATTCCTCCTTGGTTAGCTATTCCAGGGTTTTTGTTGTTGTTTTGTTTTATGTGTTTGTTAATGTTTGTATTATGGTGTGGATGTGAGGGGTCCCCCAAAGCTCCTGTTGATACAGTAATATTTAGATGTGAAGTGATAGGACCGTGAGAGCTGGAACCTCATCAGTCCATCCGAGTTTGAATGGCAGGTGGGTGTGGCTAGAGGAGGTGGGCCACTGGGGGTGCCGTGGATCAGTGCCTGTTCCTTCCCCTACCCTCTTCCTCTCTCTGTTTTCTGGCCATCGTGAATGGAATAGAGCTCCTCCACCATGCCCTTCCCCCATGAGGTGCTGCCTCACCTCAGGCCTAGAGCAATGACCTTGACCTTATATGGACTGAGACCTCTAAAACTGTGAGCCCCAAATGAACCTTTTCTCCTCTGCATTGTTCTTGTTAGGTATTTTGGTCACAGTGATGCAAACTTGAGTAAAACAGTTTATTTACTATAATACTTCAGCTCTAGTGTGACCAGCTGGAGGGCTGGGGTGGGACTCAGGTTTCTTGTCTTGATCTTGAGACATTCACAGATCAGCTTGGGGTGCTTTTCATTCACATGGCACTGAAGGCTGGTGTACGGCCAACTGTCCACTTCACACCTACTGCCATGGAGCAGGACGTGCCTCACTCTGCCTTCACACAATGAGCTGGTTGGTGACCCTGATGCAGGACCCTTTCATTCTTTCCTCTGCTAATGTACCTCGGCTCTGGGATGCCGTTCTTCAACTTGTCTTGATCTTGAGATGTTGCTGCTAGCTCAGATAATTTGAAAATTTCAGTGGAATGCTTTTTCTGCCTTTGTTAAGGCTATATATTTAAAATATTGAGCATTTCAGGAAGGAAGACAGTCTTTGCAATGTACCCTCGTGTAGCAACTCAAGCTTTAACAAGGTCCCATTTGGTAAGATGAATCCACCAATTTTAACTCACACAGACATGATACAGTTTGCACTGGCCTTTCTGACCATGAATATATGTTGAGGAATTAAAAAAGGAAAGAAAGAAAAGACCTCTTTGCTCTACTCCAGATGTTAGTTATTAATCAGATATTAACCAGGTCTGCAAGGAAATGCCACTGTACTGGTCAGACTTCTTGTTTACCTAGGACTCATTTGGAAAATTGGGTGATATTTATCCCTTGTCTACAACCATCTGATGCTTTCTCTGGCAGAGACAATAATGCCCCGTCAAATATTCCATTTCCTCCCCTACAATTTGAAGATTTCTTGCAATTAATCATGGCCATGTGACTAGTTCTGTCAATGAGATATGAATGAATGTGGTATCACTCTAGCTGAAACTGTACCCTACCCTTGAGATGATTAGTAGTTTAGATTGGAGCCACAAAAAGACAGAGTCCCTGAAAGGCTGTGTGGAGCACATATCAACTGCTTACCCACATGAGCCATGCATATAGTACGGTAAAAAAATAAAATATTTTCTTAAGTTAAATCACAAAAATTTGGGGTACTTTGTTATTGCAGCCTAACCTAGTCTGTACTGACTAATTTTGCTCTAAGGTTCTAAGAGGTAGGCCCAAACTCCTAGGACAAAGTAGCGGTTCCTGGATTGCTTAACATCTCTATTTCCAGCCCTCTCTTGTGCCACTGCCATCTCACCTCCTCTTCTCTTGCCATACTGACTTTAGCATTGTTTTATGCCCTTTGTAGATGTAAGAGCCTTACATGTTTGACCTTAAAGATCCAAGTTTCCTCTCTCTGAAGTGTGTTTCCCTCTGGACTCATTTTGATCACTAACTTAAGAATCACTTCCTTGAGGAATGTGTCTCAATTCCCCTGAACCATGTTAGCATCCCTTCATCTGCTTTCACAGAATGCTATACCTCTTCTTCAAAGCACTTTGCACCCTTGAAATGACAAATTATAAAATGCTTTAACATTTAGTACCTATTTTATTTGCTCAGAAATAAGTTCCTTGAAAAGGGGTATTTTCTAATCCATAGTTACAACCCCCAGCATGTCCTGCAGCTTGCACAAAGCCCTCCAATTTTTGATCACTATTGGATCTTCCCATGACATCAGGATAAAACAAGACAAAACAGATTTTACATGTATTTGTGAATTCCACTAGACCTATTATCTGATTTCTCTTGATCTCAGAAGGCCAACCCACTTAATGTTATGCTGGAAACACAATTATCTTCTCTTTACAGATTCAGCATATCAAACTCTCCACATGATGTGCCCAACAGAGGCAGAAAATGGAAGAAAGGGAGAAGATGATGAAACTGAGCACCCTGCTGAGTGCCAAGGCCAAGCCAGGGAAAGTCCCAGCAGCAGGTGGCATGGAGAGCTGGCTACTAGGGGTGGGGGCTGATTCCACTGAGGTCCTGTGGAGCAGGGAATCTTGAACCCATTACATCCCACAGGCACCCATTGCCTTCTGTGGCCAGGTACAAACCACACACCACGGATTAGCATCCAGCGACATCTATGAACAGCACCTCCATGTCCACTGGCAGCTGACCACCTGTGAAACACAACAGCTAGCTACTCTGATAGTGCCTGGCCTGGGTGCTGGGGAATAAAGGCTGGGGAGGAAAGTTGACCAAGCCATCTTGTTCCACTACTTAGAGTCCACAAAATATTTTTCCAATCATTTGGTACAGCTCTCACCCCGATTTGAGCTATTTCAGTCAAATCCAACTTAAATTTATCTCCAGAATGGGTAAGTTCCAAGGCTAAAAGTGGCATTTGTATGTGACATTAAACTCAATAGTGGGGATAATATTTCCTGTGTTCTCAGTACCACATTGTTAAAAGGCACATGATGTTTGACCCAGTGCAGTATGACATATATTTTCAGTGTCTGTATACTAAAAAAGGCACATGGTGTTTGACCCAGTGCAGTATGACATATATTTTCAGTGTCTGTATACTAACATATGTGTGTGTGTATACATATTATGTATATGGGCATGTATATGGGTATGTACATGTGTGTGTATATGTGTATGTGTGTGTGTGTGTGTGTGTTTGTGTGTGTAAGAATCAGTTAATATTCTCATCACTAACACTTCCAAAATGAAATAAAACTTTACAAAGCCAATTTGTGTCTCTACCACACTATCACCAAAATGTTCTAGAATAAAATCCATTAATCGCAGTTCTCTCTCAAAACTCTCTAGTCAAGAACACAGCATTCCTAAGACTTGGAGGCATGTTCTAGAATGAAACCTGTTAGTTTCTGTTCTTCTCTCTTCCTCTCTTCTCCCCCCACCCTCTCTCTCCATTCATCAAGAGCATCAATGTTTCAAAGGCTTGGAGACAGGTCCCTCCACTGAGGTCTTGTGGGAAGCAGGAAAGGGACATGAAGCCTCAGGAGTTAGGAGGCCTCATATCTCCAGCCACATATCTTCATCTAATTGTTTTGGCCTCAAGGGCTTCTACTGTTATTCATTTATTCTTTAGCTTTTATCAAGTGCCTATCTATGCATATAATTTGTTTACTGCTGAAGCAAGTCTTGGCAGGTAAGACTCTAAGAACAACATCAAATGAACTTTGTAGTCCCTCCCTGCTGAATGAGGTGGGACCCGTGGGTCTGATGAAATGTCTGTCCAGAAACTGGTTCTGCTCTAACTGGAAGGGATTTGGAAGCATTTCTTCCCAACAATTTCCAGATAAAATCCAGTATAGACAGCGCCTGGGTTTTGATCTTCCGAGACCCTCAGCACAGACCCCCATCTAGTCTATCCTGCCTGGACTAGACCTATAGAGCTGTGAGATCAGAAGGCAAGGTGTTTCAAACTAATTAGCTATGCAGCAATAGCAAAGCAATACATAAGTCCAGTAAAATTACAAACGTGATTCAGATTTTAGAAGCTTATCCTTCAAAGGGAAAGGTGACTTTACATTTCCTATGTTGTGATGCCCACACCCAACAGAAAAAAAAAATTTTAAAAAAAGGAAAGTGAATTTTTATCTTTTTAAGTTGTCATATCAATATCAACTTTGCATCTGGTCCACTAATGTTTACTAAGTCCTGACCACGTGCCACATACCATGCTCGGCCCTGGGACAAGACAGACTCAGGATATGTCCTCAGTAAGACTCAAGCATGGGAACAGAAAAAGAGCCACAGGATGGTGCATTGTGCCAAGGAGCCACAGAAACACTGGGTCACAGGCACCAGGGCTGCACACAGGGCAGGCAGGAAATGCTTCTTAAAGGAGATTTCAATGAACACCAATCTGACTCCCAAGGGGCACTGTAGGTGGACAGATCTTACAATATTTCCAGAAAACTTCATCCAAGGATGGGACTTAAAGCTTGTACTGTTCCATGGACACAGGGATTCATTTAACTAGTTTGTTTGAAACTATGAGGCCACTTACACACACACACACACACACACACACACACACACACACACACAAAGTCCATTCCACATTGCTTCTCTCATTACCCTTAAAGTCATTTGATTCCCTAGAGAACAAAATCTCAGCAGTTGAGGAACTTTATAAATACCTGTTGTTGATGAAAATTAAAATACATCCACCACCTTTCCTTTTAAATATGCATGCAATGGGTTAAGCAAATAGACTTTGGAAAAGAGCAAGTGATTCTATTTCTCAAATGTAACTGCAGTGAGGTGATAATGAGGATCACAGAGAAACTCAGCATTGTGACCTCTTAGAATCTTTCTTAGGAGGGTCAAGGGAGGAAGCAAGTCTCTGCATGTGATAAATAGAGGCACCACTCAGAGCCTCATTTGACACTTTTGTACCTTGGAAGACAGTGAAACAATTACACTGGCTCTCTTATTTTCTCTGTTTTAAGTGCAATTCCATATTTCTCTTTCTTGTGAATTGCAAATTGCCCTTCAGTTTTATGAGACTTTCAGAATTATAGCACAAGGTCAATCCATGAAAAGGAATTATTATGCAAAGATCACTTATGTGCGAACTCTAGGTAGGCGCGCGTACCCATGTTTCTACATGGCTCTTCATTTATGCTGATTGATTTATATCAACTCTGGTTTCAAATGTAAAAGCTAGAATTTTGAAAGGTGATCTCTTTACAGGTTTCTTATGTCTAAGATCCAAGAATAATGACTATTGATCTTTGGCCTACATTATAAAAAGCAATGCACATTGTCCATTGGCTCATGATTAATACCTCTCACATAATAATAAGCCATATAATGTAAAGTGAAAATTGATATTAAAAGGGAAGAAATACAACAAAAACAAAATATAGTACCAATGATTAAAATGAATGAAAACACATCTATGTAGATACAAAGTACAAGAAGGGGGAAAGATTTGCCTATAATAGTGAGGTTTTACCATAATTGCAACAAGGAAAGCTTGACGGAACGTCTGGGTGGACATTAGAGGAGCTACCAAGCTGGGTTAGGAGAAGGATTGAAAGGATTGTCCTCCCCACACACACTTACTTGACACACTTACTTACTTCAGTTCTACTAGGTGGTTCCATGGATCAACGGGCTAACAGCAGACAAATAGCTCACCCAGCACACACATGAAACACAATAACTACCCAAATCTGTTTCTCTATTTGACATTCCCGCCATCAGCACTGGTCTCCAGATGGACTTCTGGATATCATTTACTTTTAAACCAGGTTAAAAATTAAGGAACTTGAAATGGAGCCCATTATTTTTCATGCATGTACTACTATGTCAAAATGAACCCCAGTATTATGTATAACTGTCATGCCCTAATAGAAACATGGAAAATCAAGGCATTAGGTTTCTCGATGAGCACCCAATTCAACCAGGTAATATATTCACAAAGGTGGATTCCTTTGAGTGTTTTGACACCTTCATGCATCTCGCAGATAGCAGGGATCCCAGGAAAGGAGACATGAAGTAAGTTACTTTTGGGCAGAGGTAGAAGATCAGGCTCTGCTGGGTTAAATGCATAGACCAGCACTGGAAGAACTGGTACACTGAAGAGCAACCTGACAGCCCTGAGATGCTGAAATGCAGCAATGGGACCAGGAAAGAGGATGTGCAGTAACAATTGCATTTGTCAGGCACTCATCGAAGCATTCTGTATAAATCATCTCATTTAGCTCTAAGCAAACCCCTGCCACACAAGCACTTCCCTTCTTTCACCTATGAAGACACTGAAAGAGGGAGATTAGGCTGGTTACCTCCAGTAACCTTTGAGAAGGGGTGCTGCTGGGTTCAACCTCAGGAGGCTGGTTCCATGTTTCACAGCCTGAGCCACTGCCTCCCTGAGGTGTGGGTGCAGGTATTGGCCGAGAAGATGTAGGCAATTGGGGTTCAAGTACCAGATTTGCTCCTCATTAGATTTTTTTTCATTATGAAACACTGGCAAGGGCTACTTATATAGAAAAGAAAAGCAAAAATTGAACTCACGGTTCTGAAGGTGCAGCACTCAGGGTACAATGCAGTCTCCTTGGCAAGGACTGCTGGATGCTGCTGTGTTACTTTGAGGAGATGAGCAGAGACAGGAGCTGGTGCAACAGGAGGAAGACTGGACCTGGAGCAGGAAGCAGAGAGAGCTACATGAGGCCTGGCTGCTCTTGCAACAACCTTCTCTCAGGAACTCAAGGGGTCACAGGAGAACACCTTCTGAGAGCATGTCTCCAGTAGCCCAAGGACCTTCTTCCAAGCCCCAGGTCCTGAAGGTTCCATAGCACCTTTCAGTAACAACACCCTGGGGATCAAGACTCCAGTCATGGTGGACTCCTGGTGTGCACAGTGAAACCATATCTGAACCATAGCAGCTTCTCTTTTATCACATCTTGGTCACTTATTGCCCTTATTCAACTTCCGTGTCTTATCTGTAGATTAGGACTGATACCAGTACCTATGCCTCATGGCATAATTACAAACACTGAATGAGCTCTTGCATGTCAGATGCTATCTGGCATAGGAATTCCTACATAGATGGGCTCAATAAATTCTGGGCAATATCAACATGATGCAGAATGAAGAAGTCATTCATCAGTCATGATCTGATCAGGGGAACTTAGCTGCTGGCACTGCCATAGAATGAGGGATTCATCACAGGGTCAGTCCCTGCACAATGAGGGAGCTTGGGAGATATCTATTAGGAGCTGTGATTTGAATCACTGTCTCTGATTTGCACTGGAACTTCCTGTGCAAAGCTGCAGGTTAAGACTGCCCAGTTACCATGGTGATGCCCTGCTTGAAGGGAGTTCTGAAAATAAATGAATGAATGGATGAGTGGATGAATAAATACATAAATAAAGGAGGTTCTCTGTTATGCAGAGGACTATAAGTCTTGACCCTGAGTTCATACACCAACTTGCAGGGATAGAGAATTATGAGCACAAGTTGGTAATTATAATTGGTTGTGCAGTACTTTGAACTTCAATCCTGAATGTTTTGAAGAAACTTTCTCACAGAAGATTCTTTTGATGATAAACCTATATAATAAAGGTACTGAGCTAGCTTTGGGTCATTATTCCCCCATCAGAGGATAATGTCCCTCCTGGTCCCAGCTTTCTGTGTGTGTGTGTGTGTGTGTGTGTGTGTGTATCTGTCTTTTCTCAATCCCCCAGCTCCTCTCCCAGGTTTCTGAATTAACAGCCATCCTTGTCACTGCAGAAATCTATTCAGGTTTTTGACTCTGGATCTAGTGTTGGGTGTGGCCTCACTGTAGGTCAGGTGGACTGGGCATTCAGGAAGGAGAGATGGACCTGGGTGAGCAAGACGACAGTGGAGGAGTCTCCATCCTTGATGTGGTGCAGAAGCAGCTGTCTCCTGCAGCCTCATCTATGCTTTTTCTAGTGTTAAGAGGAGTTGGAAGGGACCTGTGGTGCAGGGGCCAACAGTGTGTCAGATGGGATTCAGCAAGCTCCCTGGGATCTGTCACACAGCTCTGGCTTATGTCTATTTTGTCACTGATTTATCAAGATGTGGCTCCTCTTTTGCTTCTTCTGACCAAATACTATGTGAATTTTCTCCCAGAGCTAATGCCAAGGCTCAAGACACAGGGAAGGGAATTCTAGGAAAGACTCATCTAAATCAGCTAAACTGACTCAGTACAAAGCCAACACAAACAGAGACACAGAGCATCTATTTTCAATCTTGGCTATACCTTTGTATTTTACAATAATGGTGGCAACTCTAAACAACCTCTCATTTGGAACCACATTTTGATGGGCAATGATAAGCTTGAACCTACATATCTACTGTGGAATTAGGGTCCAAGACCACACCAAGTACCATGTTCCTCGCCAGCTTTGGAACAAGTGCTCTCTCCCTTTGCCACTCCCTGCATTTCTGGGAATATCATGCTTCTGAGACACCAGGTATATTGACACTGCTGTTTGAATATCTCTGTGGCCTCCTATTACAAGATGAACAAATCTAACTCTCCAGCTTGTCCTCCCTGGTCAGCCTTGGCTTGCTTATTCTGCTTTGTATTTCACTAGGTCTGTGCCTCGAATTGTTACTGGTACTTTCGATGCAGCACCTACCAGACCTAGTCAGTGGGTCTGCTTTCTTTTCCTACAAGTTAGTAAGTTACCTGTGGGTGGGGTCTGGATCAGTGAGTGATTGAATATATGAATTTATATGATAATGAATGAAACACTCTTAGGCAATTTTTGTGAGGACTAAATAAATAAAAATTGCCTAAGTGTATTTTATTCATTTATCATATAAATTCATACTGATGGCCTTCTATGTGTCAGGTAGTCTCTCCAACACACTTAAAAGGGAACAATACAGCCATGACCCCAGTATTTATGGAGCTAACACTCTAATCAGGGAGTCAGATACACAATAAAAGGACACAGAATGAATGAAGAATCAGTTATTGTGATAAAGGCTGGGAATAAAAAAAATAGAATTCTATTCTTATTAATTAAATTCAATTTTGAAATGATTGATTTGGTCAAGGAATTTAATTTGTGAACATAAGACAGCAATGTGAATTAGCCCCATGGAGAATGGACTTATAAATAAATGTGGCCTTATCAGCACAATGCTCCAAATAATTGAAGGAACCAATTCAGTTCAACATCTATAAAGTCACAAAGCTTTTTGCTAGGCATCGAGTGATTGGGACCTTCAAGAATTGCTAGTTAACTTTGGGAAAATCCAAACTTCAGCTCAGAAAATGGCTGTGCATTCTGCCTGGGGTTAGTTATCTTTAGGGAGTATTAATCTTTAGGGAGAAAAATCAGTTGTTAGAGATCAGAGACAAATCGTAAGATTTTAGAGTAGTTATTATCAGAACAAAGACTTCCAGGAAGTTTATGAGATCCACATTCAGACAACAATTTGGCAAAGTGGCAGTTGAATTTAAGGCACTGAATTTTAATAATAGCACGTTAATCATTTATTTTGTATCTAGCACACACAATTCCCAGATGCCAATTCTGGTGCCAAGAAATGGACATGCGGAGAACAGCAGGTATGGAGAGATAAATCTTGTGATTTATTTGCCTTGTGTGTTCAAAGTCTCTAATAATTCATTTCATCACCATGGAGCAAAATATGTGTATCCCATCTTTAATCCATGCAACCTCATTTACCATGCACTTTGTTTGTCTTTTGGTATGGTCCTTGTCAAAACACTTCCTCTTAAGAATTTCCTCCTCCTGAACGTGACACCTTTGATCACCTTCAAAACGTGAACAATTTCAGGAACCAAGAACAAAGGAGAGCTATTTAAAACTTCCCCAAACATCTGATCTCTTTGTGGATTACACCTGTTTAGGCTTTTTTTTTTCAATGTCATATTTTTACTTTCGCTTGCCACAGGTTTACAAAGATTAAAATTTCATATAAATATTTACTAAACAGAAAATTATATATACCATGCCACTTTTAGGAACATAAATTCATTTCAATTAAAAGTTTGGATTCAAGTCTTTGATTTTTCATCTCATCCCTTGTTCTTTCAACCATACATTTACTTTGTGCATTTCTGTACATTTTACTACAGATACTAGTGATCTAGTTAGTGGTAAGCCAAATGGATGTGGCACCTGCATTCAGGATGATAAACTTATACAAGGATTAATATGGGTTAATACAGCAGTCTGTGTGCCTCTGTGTGTCCACATGGGCACCCCCACTCAGGCATGGTTGTGCATATGCTTAAGTGTGAACTAGGGTACAATAAAATCTACTAAACTTCTAATGTCATGCCTCTGAGAGTGTGGCATTAGAATTAGGGCTCTTTATATGGGTGACATTAGAGCTGAGACCTGAATAATAAAAAGCCAGCCATGAAAAGATCTGATTATGCTGGTTTGGAGGAAAAAGAAGGATAAAGGCCTCAGATGAAAATGACTTTGGCATGTTTGAAGAACCAGAAGAAATCCAAGGTGGATTAAGTAGAAACGGGGTTATGAAATTTGACACAAAATAGAGGTAGCCATGTGAGCAGGTCCTAGATCAGAGATTATTTCTATAATCTCAGATACTAACGGTCCAAGGATTCTGAAGATCCACAAAACCCTGAGAACTTGGAGTGACAGTTTCTTTGTTTAAGCATCTATGCATTTTCAAAGTAGTCTATGACCCAAAGAAGTCCAACCTGGTCTGTGTTGATTTTAATCAAATCTAAGAACTCATCTGATGTGGTTTTCATTAAAAAAATACATAGAGACACAGAAAGCCATGATTGAGTTCTTTCTAAGTCTTATGATACCTTACCTCAGTGTTTTAAAACCTTGGTACTTATGCATCCCAATCTAGTGAAATGATCTTGGAGGTATGGATCTCTCAGTGTGGGAAATGGAAACAGTTCATTCCATCATACCAAAGTTCATACACTTAAACTTGTTGAGAAGGGTAAAACAAGGATCTGAATGCCACATAGGGGACCCTGCCTTAATTGGGTAAGATTGGCAATTTTTAGCCCTTGATAATACCTAGCAGTTGTGAATGCTTCCCTACATCCTCGTCATCAGTGCTGATCATTTTTGTGACAAGGATGGAAGCAGGGAGACAACACTGTGAACAGTATCCCAAACACATGATGAACGATAACACAGTTTACAAGAAAAATGGCCCAATTTCAAGCATACTTTCTGGAAGTTCTATGACTGTTTTGGGAAAACTTGCTAAAAATACTAAGGCAATGGAGACAAGAATAAAAAAAGTGAAATATAGTCATCTCCATTCTCTCTCTCTCTCTCTCTCTCTCTCTCTTATGTTCTTAAGGATACTGTTTAACATACATCATTTTGACAAATCTGACTTATTTATTAAAGAAAACTTACGATCATTAAATAGCTTTCTAGGTGCTGTGTCCATGAACGGTGCATTCTGAGGAAGTTCATTATGTAAATCAAAATGTGGAGAAGCACCATTTTAAATGTGATAAATGTCTGCTTCGCTTCATAACTTTGACGGAAATGACCTGACATATGAATAAATATTTATACCAAATTTTATACTAAAAAAGAAAAGGCTGCTTGAAAATGTTTGATTGCAACTATTCGTGGGTATTTTTCTGAGAGTTATCTACATGATGTGTGTCTACTGCAAAGC